TTTCAATTGAATTTTTTGTTTTAATATGTTTTTATATTATAATTAAATGGACTTTCCATTGTGTCACGTGGTCATGCCTAAGTTTGTAACTTGCTAGATCAAGAATAGATCTAGCGGCTGTAACTATAAACAACGCTGATGCTTGCTGTCTCTCCTTTGTTACAGCTCCAATATTTTAAATACTTTTACAAAATTTTAATTTCTATGAATTTATTAATACTGTACATCTAGATCTGCACACAAATCATGCTAAAATTAAAGGAGAACAATTTATTTATGAATGGTTTTTAAATGTTTATTGCTTGAAAGACTAGTGATAGCTTTCAACATGATTTCCTATTTTACCCATTCATATTGGGCTGCCACAGAAAGCTCCTTCCTCAACATTGTATTAAAGATATATACATAAGTAAATAATAAATTAAAAGGCTAGGGTTAGTATTGATTCAATATTTTTATGTTGATCTAGTCTATTTACTATTCAAAGTCTATTTTCAGTCAACTGTTGAACTGGGAATAGCCGTATTAAGGCTATTCACAGTCGTGACAGTTTTTTTTATACATCTGTAAAAAACGCCCAAATTTTCATGAAGCTGTGTGGTCGAGTGGACATGGAAAAATTGCACTGCTCTCGTAATCTATACTTCATTCCCCAGTCACAATAAATGCTTTTGTTGTCGCCAAATATTAGGCCTCTTCCCAGTTGTGTTTGGTAAAAATGACAGCTGACTGTGAATAGTCATGGATGCTATTCCTAGTCTGCTGAAAATAACCGAAATAGTGCTTTTCCCAACAGGTGGGAATAGCCTTGGCCATTATTATTTAGTCTCTTACTTGAAAAACAATTGCTACATTCAATGTTCCAAGAAGACAATGACATTGGAAAAATCACTAAATGTAGACTATACTTTGTGGCAGCAACATTTTTTTAATAACTTACTTTATCTATGGTCGATAAACGGGGAACTAATGAGAAGATATGTAATTTTTTTTGCTCAATTGTTTGTGCATCTAAAAAGCCTTGTTATAAAGCACAAAAAGACAAACAGATCGCATGACCGTTTGCCATGCAAGTATATTTTTAGGAATTACTATTATTTTTTTAGATACTTGAATAATGTATTATATGAAAATACTTATTTTATAGCCACGAACAATAAATGCATCATTTATATATCCTCTCACCTCTTGTGGTTATATTTTGCTTCTATTTGTAGGTTACATATTTTTAGAGTTTTTTAATGGAGGCGAGCGAGTTGACGAGATTCCTTCCATAATGTTGTTGACATGGAATAAAAACGTGCTTTTTAGATTTAGACCGTAAAAAAAAATAAAAAATAAAAACTTAAGCCTAAAATTTAGAAATTTTATATTTTTAGAATAAATGCTATAAAGGTTGCAAATCCAGAGAACTTGAAAATAATTTGTTGAGTTTAAGGCTACATTTCTATTTATTTTCATCAAGCCTAAGTTATAACCGGATGTTTCACTTTCATAAGACAAATATTGATTGGCTGTACAGTAACTTAGTGATCGATAACTATTTGTTTACAAAACTTTGCAGATCAAGTTTTTAAATAACAATGCAAATTAAAAACCCCATAACCTAGTTTTCTATTTTTAGCTTACAATGTGTACAATAAAATCTATGGGGGCCATTGTTTATGTCGCCCTTACACGTAAAAACCAAATTGTTTTTGCTTTTTTTTAAATTTTTATTTAGTTACCGAAAATATTATAAACATCAAATACATCCAATCTTTAGTAAAGTCCGAAAAAAACCAGACAGGCAGTATTTTATAACCATATTAATTGTAACTACGCTGTGCATGATTTTTAAATTAATTTATACACCTCTCAAATACCTTTGAGACTTTTCTCGCTGGTGTCCATTGAAGTGTATGTTTTAGAATTTTCAAGAGAGGTTTATTTAATTTAATATATTATTATTTTACTAATTATTTCGAGTACTGCATGGTAGAATCACTAGTGTGAAGAAATATCAAGTATATTTTTAGGAATTACTATTTTTTTTAGATACTTGAATAATGTATTATATGGTATACTTAAATACTTATTTTATAGCCACGAACAATAGAGAAAATGCATCATGCATATATCCTCTCACCTCTTGTGGTTATATTTTGCTTCTTTGTAGGTTACATATTTTTAGAGTTTTTTAATTGAAGTGTATTTTATAGCCACGAACTATAGAGAAAATGCATCATGCATATATCCTCTCACCTCTTGTGGTTATATTTTGCTTCTATTTGTAGGTTACATATTTTTAGAGTTTTTTAATTGAAGTGTATGTTTTAGAATTTTCAAGAGAGGTTTATTTAATTTAATATATTATTATTTTACTAATTATTTCGAGTACTGCATGGTAGAATCACTAGTGTGAAGAAATATCAAGTATATTTTTAGGAATTACTATTATTTTTTTTAGATACTTGAATTATGTATTATATGGTATACTTAAATACTTATTTTATAGCCACGAACAATAGAGAAAATGCATCATGCATATATCCTCTCACCTCTTGTGGTTATATTTTGCTTCTATATGTTTTTTAATTGAAGTGTATACTTTAAAATTTTCAAGAGAGGTTTATTTAATTTAATATTATCTATATACTACTAAAACTCAAGTTTGTTTACATGTTTGAATATTTATATGTTTGTATGTTTGTCTGATTGACTATTGTGAATAGATTTACTCTATGTAAAGAGCTGTAAAATAGTATGTAGGTAGAGAATAATTTTTTATTGCAGACAGACTGTTAATCACACATTTATTTAAAGACGTTAATTAATTTATTGATTTATTCATAGGTAGATTAACCACATTTATTTGAAAGTTTTAGAACAATGGTTTAACTTTGACTGAATAGTGATGTTTGATAACTCATTTTTTTGTTTGTTTGTTTTTCTGATTTGTTATTGGTGAGAATCTGCATTATATGTAGAGCTGTAAAATAGGATTTTGGGTGGTAAATATTGTTCCTTCTTAAACACACTGTTAATTACAAATTAATTTAAAGCCGTTAATTAATTTATTGATTTATTCATATGTAGATTAACCACATTGATTTTAAAAGATTAGAAAAACTACTAGACTCTACGGAACAGTAACTTTTTTTGTTTACTTTTTAGTACGATAAAATGGCGTCTATCAAAGAAGATTGTGTTCCCATTCCAAAGTTTAATGCGTTCTAAAGCTAATTTTCTGTCAGCTATAACTTTATCAATACGTCCGTTTGCTGTATTTATTACGTTCCAACACTTAAAATCAATTTTCAACTGTCTTTTTCATTTAGTTTTACGATAAATTTCTCTAGATCTACAGATCAGCTGTCGAAGGAAGAACATGTTATGAAATCTAGATTCTAGATCTAGGTCACTAGACTTTACGTAAATTCTAGATCTAGACTTAATGCAAATTCTACACCTAGAATCTATTTCAAGCCTTATTTTATATAAATCTTTGTTTAGCTGTAATGGACATCTAATTCGAGAATACATCGGAATTATCTATCTAGGTTCTAGAGCTAGATATAGTAGGAATACTCGCTTTTTGAGAAAGTTATTTATAGATCTAAAAATATGTGGCCAAGCAAGTTATTTCTAGATCTAGAATCAATTGGATAGATAAAAATACAATCCATTTTATAATCATAATACATTTTTAGTACTTAAATACTTGTTATAAATCTTTGTGATTTATCTATCTAGATCTAGAATCTAGCTAGAAGAGGTCTAATGATTAGATCTAGATCTAGAGTTTCTAGATCTAGATCTAGCAAGAGTTACGCACATACTAGACTTAAGCAAACAAGTCGAAGAATCTAGATAATTCTATCTAGATTAGATCTAGATAATTTCAGACCTTCATTATTTTATATAATATTTTTGTTTGGCTAATTTAAGATAAAATTTAAGTTGAAAGTTACTACTACTAGACTTAGATCTAGATCTATGAGCCTAAATCAAGTTGCATAAGGAGACTCAAAGTATTAAAGTATAGTATAAAAAATCATTTGAGGCGACACGAGTTAAATAGCTAAGTTGTTAGTGTAATCGGCTTGCATGCGGGCGGCACAGGTTCTAGACCAATAGGTCAATGTCAAATTTTTTTTTTTTCACTTTTTATTTTATTTTTTAGATGGGAATGACATCAGTATATGAAGGGGTAGTCCAAAATCGGTGTTTTTAAAGGATAAAAAACATATTTTTGAATGTGGGGTCTGTTTTTTTGTGGCTATAAGTGACACTACAGTAGCATTGCGAGGGGGGGGGGGGGGGGGGCGCCAGGGAGGGACATATGTCCCCGGGCGCCGACCATAGGGGGCACCAAAATGGGTTAGAAAAAAAAAATTGAAAGGTTCAGCGGGGTGCAAATCGAAAGTTTGAGCGGGTTGGGTGCAAATTGAAATCTTGAGGGGGGGGGGGGGGGGGATGAACATCAAAAGTTTGAGGGGGGGGTTGCAAATCAAAATTTTGCGGGGGGGGGGGGATTCGAATTGAAAAGTTTGTCCCCGGGTGCCGGGAAGGGTCGCTACGCCTCTGAGTGACAGCCGTGATGTTTTTTATAAATGACCCCCGAAACCCACAGTTATCCAACAGATGACGGGTAGTCTAGTTATTACTAATTATTTCGAGCACTGCATGGTAGAATCACTAGTGTGAAGAAATAACAAGCATGAGTTTTTCACTTAAAACCTGTATTGAGTTTTTTTGTTATTAGTGCTAATGACATTAATATTTTATTTCTTTAATGCATTATATCTTAATTAAGTTTAGAGTCAAGCGTTGAGATTAGGGTTAATGGCTAGGTTAAAAGGTAAGGGCTAGAAATAGTCTAAGAAAATAATATTAATTTACTTTTCAATACACATATTTAATTAAGAATTTTAGCTAAATGAAATAAGTATCTTTTGACAATAAAATGTGTCTTATGTTCGAAGAAATATGCAATATCTTATCTCATATTTTCAAAGAAATAAACTGTTCTTATTTCCTGCCAACCAAGTGACAACAATATATATATAAGCTCGAATGGATGTGAGAGGATCTAAGCAAATTTGGTAATTTCTCAATCGTTAGCCAAAATAAGCAGTACTGGATTAGAAATTTGTGTTTTTAAAGAATATTAATATGCAGTCCTAATCTAATGATAGCCTTGGAATTACTGACAATCTATTTTTAGATCATATCAGACTGAGTGAAAAGATTTAACAGACCTTCTGCGATTAATTTTGTCATTTTATTAATAATACTTTATTCTGACTTTATAATTACTACTTTTCAATTTAACATTTATAACATTTTTATTCATCAGTTGATTTATAAAAAAGCAGTCAAGAATGGAAGAGGAAACAGAGCATTTAGCTGCAATGTTATCTATTGTAGATGAACAGTCACACAAATTGACAGAATTTTTAAACTCTGAAGATTTAAAACCAGATCTATCAACAATATTTTCATCTTCTAAAGACATAAAAACAGAATTTACATTTTCATCTATGGTTGATGCAAAACCCAACTTGACATTCACAGCTTCTCAAGATTTTAAACCCTATACTACAACAGAGTTTTCATCTTCTAAAGACACAGAAACAGAATTTTCAAGTTTTTTATCTTTTGATAACTTTACACCCAACAAAACATTTATAGGCTTGCAAGATGTTAAACCTGATGTTACAACTGAGTTTTTAACTTGTAAAGATAAAAAGCCTGTATCATCATTATCATCATCTGAAGATAACAAATCAGAAGTCACAACTTTATCAAGTAGTAAAGATTCAAAACCAGATTTATTGACAGGATTTTTACATTTTGAGGATAAACAACAAAAAGGGCTTGAACTTCAAGTTGAAGAAAATCTCCAATTTTCTAGACACAAAAGATATCAGATTGTTTCTAGTCAAAAATACAAAAGGTTTTCTCAAAGTTCTAACTTAAAAAAACATAAACCAGGTCAAGAAGGAAATGAGCAAGTTGAATATGATGGTGACCATGAGAATCTCTCTCAAAGTTGTAATTTCAGTAACAATAAAAAAGTCCTCTCAGGAGATAAGCCATACTTATGTGATGTTTGTAATAAAAGGTTCTCTCATCGATGGAAATTATATATACATCTGAAAATGCATTCAGGAGATAAGCCATATAAATGTGATGTTTGTCATAAAAGGTATACTCAAAGTTCTGGTTTAAGTACACACAAAAGAATTCATACAGGAGTAAAGCCATATGAATGTGATGTTTGTCAGAAAAGGTTTTCTCAAAGTTCTACTTTAAGAACACATAAACAGGTTCATTCAGGAGGTAAGTCATATGAATGTGATGTTTGTTATAAAAAGTTTTCTCATAATTCTAGTTTAAAAACACATAAAAAGGTTCATTCAGGAGAAAGGCCACTTGAATGTGATGTTTGTCATAAAAGGTTTTCTCAAAGTTCTAATTTAAAAAAACATAAAAAGGTTCATTCAGGAGAAAAATCATATGAATGTGATGTTTGTCATAAAAGGTTTTCTCAAAATTCTACTTTAAGAGCACATGAAAAGGTTCATTCAGGAGAAAGGCCACATGAATGTGATGTTTGTCATAAAAAGTTTTTTCTACGTTCTAATTTATTAAGTCATAAAAAGGTTCATTCAGGAGAAAGGCCACATGAATGTGATGTCTGTCATAAAAGGTTTTCTCAAAGTTCTACTTTAAGAACACATGAAAAGATTCATTCAGGAGAAAGGCCACATGAATGTGATGTATGTCATAAAAGGTTTTCTCAAATGTCTTATTTAAAAAAACATAAAAAGGTTCATTCAGGAGAAAGGCCGCATGAATGTGATGTTTGTCATAAAAGGTTTTCTCAAAGTTATAATTTAAAAAAACATAAAAAGGTTCATTCAGGAGAAAGGCCACATGAATGTGATGTATGTCATAAAAGGTTTTCTCAAATGTCTTATTTAAAAAAACATAAAAAGGTTCATTCAGGAGAAAGGTCACATGAATGTGATGTTTGACATCCAAGGTTTTCTCAAATTTCTTGTTCATCTTCACACACAAAAAATTCATTAAAAAAAAAGTTGTCTCAGAAGAATAATTTGTTATGAAACATGTGTTGTTGAATGTTATAAGCCATATGTATGTATGAAATATTTTCTTAAAGCTCTTACTTATGTGCTCTTGAAAAAGTCATTCAAGAGACAAGCCACATTAATCTGGTATTTGTCAGAGATTTTCTCAAAGTTTATTCAGGAGATAAGCCACATGAATGTTGATGTTTGTCACAAAAGATTATGTCAATTATCTAATTTAAATACTCATAAAATTCATTCTAGAGGTAAGCCAGGAAATTCATCATTACTAAAAACCAAGTTAATGTCATTTTTAACATAAATAATTAATACTAGAGCAAATTATTATTTAATATCTTGTTATAATTTTTTCTCTTCACATAACTTTAACTAGTGGTCATCCAATAGTGCACCATTGTTTATTAATTTTAACGAGCAGACCCGCTGCGTATCATACGCCGCTATTTAGTTGTTGTTTTTTTCTACTTTTCAGTAATTTATAATTTGTGAAAATATTTGCTTAAAATCACTAAACCCCCCCCCCCCCCCCCCCCCCCCCCCCACGTGAAAGCAGCCTCCTCTTAGTTACCTCCTCTAAGTTTAAAATCGTTTCAAACTAAATTATCTGCTCCTAATAGCCGTCACCAAATCCGTCTCTATGATTGTAAAATGTAAACAGCGTGACCACAGCTCACCAGACAATGTGGGGGTGGGGTGGGGGGTGGTAGTGATAATGATAGAGAGAAAGAGAGGGGACTGCAAGGAGGCGCTTGCAGCTTGTTTTCTAACTGATCCCAGAAGAGAATTATATATATAGATATTTGTTTTATGTAAAGGTTCTTTTGTCAAAGAGTATACCATGTCAATTATTATACATACTCTATAAAGAAATTTTATTCTATTATGTAAGCTGCATGTGTACAATTTTTTCTTTATGTAGGCTACTTCTTTTTGTGTTATTTGTAAATGTGTATATTAGGAGAGGTAAGCTATAACTTTAGAAACCGAGGGTTTTCTTTTTATACTGGCATGGTTTTGTTCAGGCCACAGTTAATTTGCCTATTCTTTTCACATTATATAAAATTGACATTGCATATTCATAGGGATAAGGAAGTGAGCTAATTATGCTCAAACCAATTACACACATTATTAACAATAACAGAAGCTAACTAAAATAAAACACAAAGTTCAATTCATTTATTTACATTTACTAGATGTTTACAATATATATAGGCCCTACTGTTACACAATTCTCATTCATAACTTTACACATTTACAGTACTCACAAACAGCTCAGTCAGACATACATCAACATGACAGAATATCAGGTTGACAGTTAAAAAAACCTTCATTAGACATCAGGCCAGCAGTCACAGTGGCATCTAGCCAACAGGTACAGTGACATCAAAACTTCTGAGCAGACAAAATATTTTTTTGTAAACACTTTTTCGTCTTTTGCTAAATGTCTTTAATCATTATATTGAGAGGTATAGAATCTCAAATCAATTAATAGCATAAAGATGTATAAACAAGATGCTCATTATTGTTCCATTGACAAATGCTTGCTTTGTTCTTAAGTTTTCTTTCTGATCTGTAAAATGATGCAATTCACTTTCTATACAAACTTATTTGGTGAAAATAAATTTAAAACTTCTACTTTAATTGTTTGACATTATTTTATTCATCCCATTTAAGAATCCCTCCTCCTTCCTCCGCTTATTTACATGTCTTATGGAACTAACCTCAAGTTTCAAGTTGGTCCAACCATTGCTAAGGCTTATGGTCACTTCCTTACTTTTGCTTGATGAATGTTTTTTTTATTCAATTAAATTAAATGCATTTAGGCATATAAGCCTATAGATGTTATCATTCTGCACTCCTTCTCAATATAAACTTTATGCCATACCTCAGACACCTCTACATGCAATGTGTTTAAAAATAGTACAGAATAATTTTCTTCTCATATTCACATATGCTATAGAATTTAGAGATTAACCACACATAACAATTTTATAAATAAACATTTAAATTTTTTAAAACAGCATAAAAATTATCAATTTGAAGAAAAGAAAGACTTAGGCTGCAATTGTTACATTTTGGTATCTTAGTTTCAACATACCGTGTTTATTGGTTAATTATTATTTAATTTTGTATTGTTTACTGTTTAAAAAACAAACCTTGTAGGGCCTAGTAAAAATTCGAATGTAGTGATTCATTAGAAATTATAACATGAAAAGTTTTAAAAATAAAATAGCTAAACTGTTTTTTTATTGTTATTGTATTTCTATCAACACTTCCTGTATGTATAAATTCCAATGAGACCAATGTGTTTTGAATGCTGGGGTATGTTTTTCTCTCTTGTGATGCTACAAAGCCTGTACATGCCAGGTATGTGATGGTCAATGTCAGACAACTTATGCTTGTTAGGGAAACATTTCAAATTTCGAACACTTTTTTACTTTTTTTTAAACCAACAATAAGTTAAATAAAAAAAATTAAAAAATGAATGACTTTGAGATATTCTGCATGTTAACGGTATAGATTAGTGTTTGGTACCGTATAGATATAATAGTGATAATTAGTAAAATGCTGGTATTCAACCGGTAAGAGGGTCTGTGCCACTTCTTTACCGGGAATATAGATTCTAGTATAGTTTTACTAGAGGTAATATCATTAAGGTCTGATGACTAAGGGTCAATTCAATGTCCAAAGTTTACAGCCTTATTAGAATAATAATGGGTTTTACCAGGTCCGATGACCTCTTGTCTTTGGCAAGGACTTACGGCCGGTGAATAAAATAAAATAGCAGGTCCGATGACTACGGGTCAACTCAATGCCCGCAGTTTACGGCCTGTAGTAAAATAGAATGAGGCTGTGTATAATATAATATCTACTGCTCCGTGGCTGATACACGTGCAGGATAAAAGTAGTACAAAATGTAACTGGAATGTCTACTCAGCTGCCACGTGGAATTACGTCACAGGCAGGAATAGTTTAGGTCAAATAAGTATTCAGATGCCCTGTGTGCTAAGACACGGACAGTGTAAAGTTTTTTTACGTAAATCAGGTAAGTTATCGACTGTCACATGGACTAAGCCACGAACAGGGTAACTGTAAAGTGTTTAAGTAATAATAAATAACAGCAAGATAATATATGTGGTATTTATTGAAACTAGTTATTACAATGATATTCAACTATGCATATAAAAATTGGTAAAGTAAAAATAAGAAATAAAGTACAACCAAACCAAAATAAAAAAAACACGTGGAGGTCGGGCCGACGAACCTAACGCCGTGTGCGACACCACCAGCTGAGCTTAGTGCTGGAAGAGTGCGTGATTTCTTTGTTGCATCCCCTTTTATGCATTAAAACATTGGCGGTGTGTCAAGTGGACAATCTAGCCAACTAGAGGAGCCTGTGAGGGGGACGAAAGATAGGAATGTACGGTGTTGTAGAGAGGGGGGGGGGGAGTAATAGAGCAGGTAGAGGGTGGTGTATTGAATAAAGTGGAGCTAGGCCTAAACGGTTTAACCGTCACACTGCAGTCTTGAGTTTTCACAAAAGATGGTTCTGTCATAAATTTATATAAACAGATTATACAAATAGTGCACAATCCAGACTATTACTATTATGTAAGTTTATACCATTACTTTTTGTAACAACACTTAGTTTGCTTTATAATAGCATGAAAGTCCGATGACTAGGCTACACTCTATGTGGGTAGTATTCAGACTAAAACAATTTATTACAACCAGGTGATATGAACACTCAACAAGGGGTTTGGGCCGGCAAATAAAACAGGTCTAATGACTACGAGACAATTCAATGGCGTCAGTTTTTGGCCTGTAGTTAAATAGTGTTTAAATATTGTTAAAACGTATTGATATTTATTTATTTTTTTTAAAAGTTTAATGAAAAAGAACTAGAGTCTATTTAAATATACTTAAAAGAAGCTTAAACATATTGATCACACATTTAATGAATTATAAATGGCTACAAAGTGATAAGGTAAAAACAAAGTAGCAAATATTTTTCTTTAAACCTAGCAACCATAGGGTATATAAATTATAGTTCTTATGTTTTTTGACCTGGTCAGATGTAGAGATGCACTACATGCAGCTGCCTTTACTTTATATCATATACTCACAAGTCCGAACAAGGATCCGAACTCGAGCCGTACTGACTAGCAGCATAACGCTCAACCAAACAACCACGCCATCACAAAATAGCACGGTGAATATAAATTAACAATTTAAAAATACAAAACCCAAGTAGGTATCAATAGAAAGCCTATGTAGCGCAGTTGCCAATCAAGTAAAAGAAAGCATTCGTTTATTACCGGCTATTTTACGGCCTTAGCGAAGGATCTGTAGCATATGACATTCAGACACAGCGATTGGCCCTTATTGCAACTACGATTGGCCAGATCAGAGGTCGTTGGGTGAACCATGGTATGTAGTTAACCAAAGGTGGGGGAAATAATAGGACATGTAGCTGATGGGGGTCGTAGGTAAGATGGCGGTAACATTAGTTCTACCCTAAAAATAGCAAATATACGTTTTGTGTCTGACCAACAGATTTTCCATACGGTCTAGTCATCTATAGAGGTGCATGCAAAAAATTAGACAGATATACAGAGGTTAAGTACCCTAAAGTTTGTGTTGAAATTACCCTGTTTTTCACATAAACCCCATAGATTATATGGTCAGAGTTTTTTTTTTATTAAAACTAAAAAATTGTCAGGCCTAAACTAATGGACCTCTCCACATTTATGAAGAGAGTTCATAAAAGTTGCAAAATTTTTACATATTGTTCTTGTTGATGTATTAAATTGTAGATATTTTAGGGGGTAAAATGTTTTGAAAAATAATTTTATTTTTCTGCTCATATCTATTTTTTTTTCTCTCTTTTTTACCCATCCATTTAAATTTATGCAGAACAGACTGGGAAAATCAGCCATGTCTATACAAAGTGCACTTGTGGTTAAACAGGAATCAAATGACCAAGCAATACAATTTATGGATTTAAAATCAGATGTAACATTGGCAATTTCAACTTTAGAAGATGTGAAACCAAATTTAACATTGATTTCAACTTCAAATGTTATCAAACAAAATATATCATCACAATCTTCTCCTTTTGAAGACAAGTCAAATAAAATAGTTGCATTTTCAACTTCAGATCAACAATCAGTTGAAACATTTTCTTATTCTAAAGATATGAAACCAAATGTTTCAACAGAATTTTTAAGGTGTGATGTTATGAAAAAGGATATCTTAACATTTTCATCAATTAAGGGTGAAAACAAAAATAGCTTAGATGTTAAAAGACAGCTTGAATATTTACCAGATTCAGATGTTTTTATTGAAAATTTAAGTTTTAAAATCAGATCTTCATCATGATTTGCCAGAACTTAAGGAAATGCATAAAGAAGTTATTGATAATTTTCCAACAATTTATGAGCTCATGGATAAGGGACTGAAGACATATAAGTGTGA